GTAAATCCTCCTCTGTTTGCCAAACAAGCATTGATCCGACGTGGCATACTCCTAATGAGACGTCTAAGGTCATTTTGGTCCAGATTGTCCCATTCCTGTTGCAACGCAGCAGCAAGTTCTTGGACATTGGCAGGACGTTGTTGACGTTGACGTAACCTCTGTCCAAGCATGTCCCAGACATGCTCGATGGGGGAGAGGTCAGGACTCAGTGCTGGCCAAGTTAATGTGGTGATGTTCTGTTGTTGGAGGTAACCTGTAACGATCCTGGCCCTGTGACATCTTGCGTTGTCATCCTGGAAGATGAAACGGCGGCCATGACGTCGTGCGAACGGCACAACATGGACTGCCAAGATGTTGTCCCGGTAGTACTGGCCTGAATGTGATGATCTCTCAAACAAGGGATCACGCGAGGCCGTCGGGCGCGAAGGTGACCCCTATGCAGTCGATTCCGAATCGTCTGGCCACTCACTCTCACACCAGTGTCTGTTTGAAGACGAGCGCTGATCTGATTTGCTGTGATGACACGATTTCTCAAGGCCAAGGTACGGATAAATCGATCCTGGGCTTGAGTTGTCGCCCTTGGTCGACCTGAGCGTGGTCTGTCCTGTACAGATTGTGTATCACGGTATCTGGACCATAGCCTGCTTATGACAGACTGAGAAACATTCATCGTCCGCGCCACAACCGCCTGTGTTGTGCCGATCTGTAGCATGCCAAGGGCACGTAACCTTTCATTTTGGGTAAGCCGACGCATATCAAAATTTGTTTTCTGGTCACTAAAACAATTAAACTGATGTTTCCACCCTGGAATTCAATGCCACAATGACTGTAACATTCAAAGTCAGAGTCGTGCAAATCTTGGGTTGGACCCCCATGATGATCCCAAGCATCACCTGCATTCCATGCGGTAGCTATTGGTGCGTTTGGGCGTCACATGTAACTGGAAATGTTTCTTCTGTTAGGTTCTATAGTGACTTTTTTCGTAGTCATTTGCATATTTTAGTATTATGCCCCCAAAATCAAATATCCCCTACTTTTTTTGAATAGTATATATCTAAGAAAGTTCTTTGTGATTATATGAAACATTTTATGGTATTATCATGACAATAAACCATGCCTGTGCAACGACAAAACAATGTCGTATTACAATATATTTTGATAAAAATTGATTATTGTACCAGTATGATTTTCATAGCATTTTGGAGGTGTTTACGTGCAGATGACACACAAATATTGGGCAGACTGAAGTCCACACACGCTACCTTCAATAAAGTAACTAATTGTGAAAAAAATAACATGCTGAAATTAAATTAAATATGATAAAACAGAAGTCATGTTATGCTGTGTTATGTGGCACCAAACAACAAATCCAGAACATAAGTCAAAGTCAATAATCTGAAAGAACTTGGTGTTTATCTGGATTCAAAATTCAGCATGGCGAAACAAGTGAATAAAATTTGCAAGACATGTTTCTTTCATTTGATGTCCATACGTCAAATCCACAATTTGATCACAAAAGATGCAGCACATGCACCGGTTCAATCTTTAATCTTGTCCAAACCCGACTATGGCAATAGCCTTCTGTCTGGCCTTATACACAAATTACAGCTGGTAAAAAAATACTGCGGCTAGAATTGTGTGCCAATCTAGTAGAAAATGCCACATCACACCACTGTTAAAGGATTTACATTGTCTTCCAGTGGAAAGCAGAATTAAGTTCAAACTTCTGTGCATGGCCTACAAATGTTAGAAAGGTGAAGCACCAGAGTACTTATCCTCAATGTTAGTTGATTATTTCCCTAAAAGAAATCTTCGGTCCCAACATAAACATCGTCGTGTGGTACCCAACTATAGACTTAAAGACATTCTGCCTACACTGTACCAAACCATAATTCATTCACAATCGCTCGGCTATTTTAAGAAGGAGTTAAAGACTCATCTTTTTCGATTGCTATTAACATTGTTTGATTTTATCTTGTGATAAGTGGAGAGCTAAATGCGCCTTGAGCATTAACTTTGATGGATTTGTGCGCAATATAAGAACTCACTATTATTATGGGGGCGTTTACAAGTTCGAATTAAGGGGATGTTTACTTGTTATCATTGTGTGTGTGTGTGTGTGTGGGGGGGGGGGGGTACTAGTTTACAAGTTAGCATTATGGTGGTGTTTACATGTTAGCATTTTGAGGGTGTTTATTACATATTAGCAATATAAGGGCTTACATGTTAGCATTGGGGGTGTTCACAAGTTAACATGCATATTTGATCTAATTTACGGAAATTGTCAAATTTGGTACGACTGGCAATCATCTAACGAGAGTGATTTCACCTATCAATCTTGGTGATCCTATTCAGACATATAATAACTGACATGATTTAACATCTCAACAAGAGCTTGATGAGATTTTCTAGTTACTTATTATATCTAATTTAAAACTCTTTAAAAAGACTGGATTCGGATCACGCACAACTCTACTAAATTCATCGGATAATTATTTCCTTATCTAACACCATTACCTTAATCAGCGGATGTCATGCTATCCAACATTTAGTTGTGGTGGCGCAATGATATTACAGAAACAGTTGCATCAGACGCTTATTTTTTAAACCAGTTTTAAGACAGCATCGTGTTGCGTTCACACGTACTATAAGCCAAACGAGTTTAACTATTCAGACCTCTTCGGTTGGAGGTTATAGTTAACTACGCATGGGTAGCTTCATATTCTTTATTCGGTTCTCGCACGTTTTCGATAACATTGGCACTGTCTGACCCCGATATTCTCACAGGAATGTAATTAACTGCGTACTGCGCATGATCGAAGCAAGCTGGAGCCGGGGTTTTTAAGCCAACCCGTTCAGACGGCTAAGTTGAACCATTTTAAAATAAAAAGCCTTCTCGAAGACAGGTCGCGAGCAAGGGTTTTTAAACTGGGTTATTTGCCCCACATTTGCGTTCAGACGCTTAAGTTAAACTGGTTTAACGATCCCCGGTGTTTTTAAACCAGTTCAACTTAAGCGTCTGGACGGGCTAATGTGCATCCATTAGCTTCGACTGTAAAGTACAAAAATTAATTTTAAATCAAGAGGATGTCATTATCTGACTCCATCTTTTATTCAAATCCAACAAACTCTATATACAAAATGTCTTAATAGTTACATTGCCTGCGATAAGCTCTTGACTTTTGGTGTTCGGTGTTATTTTTATTTTAACTCCAGCTTTAGTCAAATTAGCACATTATTTTAGGTTACAAATAATTAGATAGAAATTGACGTCTGACTTAAATCGGAAGTACAAGAAGTACATCTGATGAGCGTCTTTAATTACTATAATTCAGTTTCGCTTACCAGTGACTAAACATATGAGAGTTTTTCTATTCAAAACACTATCTCCCCACTCAATTTTCAATGGAACATAATTACCAGCTCATGATAGTTGTATCAATGTCTTTTATTACAGATAGCCGTTAACACTGTACTGGAACCGAGGGGGGGGGGGCGAATGGTTAGCATGTGCGCGCTGTATCATAAGGCCTGTTATTGAGTCAACTGGCATGGTTTTGAATCCCCGGTTTTACGTGACAAGGAGTAGGGTTGCCTGTCCAATCTCGTGGGTTTTCTCCGGGTCCTCCGGTTTCTTCCCATTGCTAAAAACCCCTACGCGCAAGCGAATTATTGAAATAAAATTAAACCATGTGTTAGTCCCGAAATGACCTAGTCTGTGTCCAGTGGGCGCTAAAGCCTACTCTTATATCGAATTCCAGGGGTGCTTTTACTTGCACGCCAATATGTACACGGCACCTTGGTCTTTCGTCCCATCCGAACAACTACGGTACTTATCAGATTTACAGATACGATTTAGCTGTTTCAGTTTATATTCAATGTTATACTCACTGTTTCTGATAAAGTGAGTATAATATTGAATATAAATGATTGATATAAATTATTGTCCAGCCTAAATTAACGCTTACAGTTAGCTAAAAGTAGAATCTTATTAAAGATTAACAATGTGTACATGGCGCTTTCATTAATATTATCAATACAGTTAGCTAAAAGCAGAATCTTATTAAAGATTGACAATGTGTACCTGTGATCTGCCATTGAGTCAACTGGTGTGGTTTCAATTCCCCGGTTGGTCGCCTGCCCAATCTCGTGGGTTTTCTCCGGGTCCTCCGGATTCCTCCCACTGTTAAAGACCCCTACGCGCAAGCGAATTATTGAATTAAAATTGAACCATATGTTAGTCCCAAAACGATCCAATTTATCTCTCTCTCTTTCTGTGATCTGTCTCGGAAACAAAACGGATGAAAGGACAGGCAAATTATCAAACGAAAGGCACTTGTGTCACGGCGATCACGGTTTAACAGTTCACAAATAAATTCCGCTGCTTGGGACTATCTCGAGGTTCACAACTTACTAGATCACAATTTAAAATGGGAATGGATTGTGGAAAATTGGGTGTCCGAGAACCACTCTCTCAAAGATTCTACGGGTATATTTACGTTTCCGGAGACAAGATCTGGAATAATCGTCGTGTCCCAAATATTAAGTCAAAAATTGTTCATCAGCAATTGGTTCTATTGGCTGAATGTCGGTATATTATTATGTTGACAGGTGCGTACATATTGAGTTTGTTTGGGCGGGGGTGTTTAGGAAAAATGAGACCGACTGATGCACAGGGGGCATGTTCCTCCGGAGAAATTTTTGAATCTAGAGTCCTTAAAATGCCATTTCCTGGACTTTGAGGGAAGAATTTGCAGAATTTGGATGGTCAGAAAGCACTTCTAACATGAGTAAAATTGGGAATTTATGTTATTTTTAAGAAATTTGCAAGAACGTACAAAGTACTGTGAATCTGTGACAATTAATTCAATTCCCTGGCTGGAACTATTGGGACCGTCTATCTAGACAACACCTAAAGAATATCCGTTTAGTTGATATGGTAATTTATATATTTTTATATTTTCAGAATATGAATTATACAGTGGGGTTGACCAGTTTGAATGACACCCGGGACAACATCACTGGTGTCACCAATATCAACAAATTCATAGAGATCATGGAATATCACGTTCCCCTTGCTCTTCTTATTAACAAGTGTCTAACACCAATTTGGTATTTAGTAGGTGGTATTGGGAATATTGTTTCAGCAAGGATTTGGTTTCATCCCAGGATGAAGGCATCTAATATATCAGCTAATTATCTGGCAGCTCTAGCTATAGCAGATTTTATATATCTATTTCTACATGTGTTTTATGAGTTAGAAAATCCTTGGTTAATGGGAACCTTGGATTTACCTATTTGGTGTGAACTGTGGAACATGCTTTATATGTCCATTCAATATTTATGTGTGTTACTTGTTTTGGCATTTACGACCGAAAGATTTTTATCAGTGTGTCATCCGTTTAAATCCGAACGTTTCAGTCGCAAAACCAGATCAACAAGGGTAATCGTTTTATTTTTTATCGTTGCCTTATTATTTGGATCCCCGCAGGCGTATTTCTGGCAGGTATCAGAAACCGAGAGTGTGTGCTTTGTAAGATATTCCATAAGTGGTGCTGGGGGTTCTTTTTATACCATCTATACCTGGGGATCGGAAATGATAATGTTTGGAGTAATCCCCCTTGTAGTCCTGTCACTCAATATTTGTGTTTTACTCCGAATAAAAACGGCTGGACAACTGAACATCAGAGAAGCACGGACGAACCAACCTGGACATGCATCAGTTACAACAACGATAACATTATTGTGTGTTTCTTTTTATTTAATAGTGACAACATTACCCGTGACGATTACATTCGCCATTCAGAACAATATAGTGTTAGGGCCGCCTATGCCTATATCACAGATGGGTGATGATCCTGTGTGGACAGCATATTTTAATTATTATTCCGCGAGGACCATTATTAAAGAAATCTGCATGTCCCACCATGTGTCAAATCTCTTTATTTATTATGCGACAAGTAAATCGTTTCGTAAACGTATCAAAGAATGTCTTCTTTGCTCTTCTAAATACAAGGAGGGCGAAAATCGACAGTACCCGTCTTTACTACTTCAGACTAAAGTCCAAGCGACGAACCAATAAGTATAGCGAAATATGTGTATATTGACATTCTGACAACGTTTTGGTTGTTCTAAAATTTATAGTAATGTTACAGCGGCCAAAGCGTTCTTGGTTACAGTGTAAAGGTGTCGTGTTAGACCAGTCCTAGTCAGCTTAATTTATTAATATTTTTTATTCCGTACCGCTTCTAACCTCTTTTGGGTCTCAAAATTTCAGTCAACCTAACTGTTAGGAAAATCGTCTGTCGATGTTCCGAAATGTCGGTGATTGAATGACCATTTGATCATAGGTGCCAGTGAGCATAATATATATTCTAAAATAGAATCCGTCTGGCATCTGCTGTCCCCTGTCACTCAAGGCAAATACGTTGTAAAGTTGACATTGTTTATTTAGCAACAAATAACTTTTATAAATGAACACATTTGCCTAAAGAAGATCGAAGTCATCATTTTATATACATGTTTATTAGTTAGTTAAAATTTTTAGTTATCAGGCAGCAGTCATTAAGTAGGTGTTACTTCACTAATGTGTTAAAACCGTGATTATTGAATGATACACACTAGCTTTATCCAGGTTTTTGTATTCAATAGTGATGGGTATTAGAATTAGACACGCTTTTACACCAGTAGTGTCATCTTTTACAGCTAGTTACACACCTGCTAATTGATGACTATTGTATAATTTCTAACCACTGTCTATATATATGAAACATTAGTTTAGATTAAAATACAGATATGACGTCACCCTTTGATGTTGGAGTACCATTATTTCAAATAATCGTACGGGCAACTTGCCAATCGTACCTTGTCAAATATTAGACTCGAGTGACGTATTTCACTGTAGACGCACGTGCGGAGTGTCTGTATTTTAAGATGTTTAATGGTCTCGAGCTGAGACATTGCGTAAATAGGCGTTTTTGTGAGTCGATTAGATTAGGTTTTGATTTGCTAGTACGATTTGGTATGATTTCGATTTGATTAGCTATGGTCCACAAATGTGAAATTTGATAATTACGATTTGGTAAGATGGCTGCCATCACGGACACCGATCAGAAAAAAAATTGTCTCTGCTAACATGACGAGGGGGGCGTGTGTTTCACGTGTAGTCCAAGTTACCTACAGATTACAGTGACACTGCTGGCACCCAGAGGGCCTAAATTTGCTTAGAGCCAGAGGTGATCTAACATTCTTGTGGACTATAAAGTTAACATTAAAGGAGCTAAATCGCTAACATTTGGGACCTAGAAATTGACAAAAGTGGGTCGCAATGCATATAATACTGTAATATGAATGTATATAAACTGATTTACATTCAATGGTTTCCGTTTTTACTCCAATTTCAAATCCGTTATGTTCGGCGAAATAAGCCAGCAGTCTCAAGCGAGTGCAAATTTCTAGCGTCACGTCTGGTTATTCCAGTTTACATACGCCGTTTGATTTGGTGCAATGTGTCTAGCCTCGTCCCTCGAGTCTCTTGATACAACTGGGGCTGAAGCGCATTATGGTACACGATTGGTGTACCAATGGTAAAATGTTTATTTTGTCTTAAATATTGGATATCAAAAGCCCATCTTTTCCCGTTAAGATCACAACATGAATATTGATATAATTTGACAAATAAATCGTGTTTTCAATGTTGAAGATTTTGGATGATATTGAGTTAGAGACTTAGCTACTTTAAACACATCAAATGCGTTTTAAAAAAACATTTTTTATGGAGAAAAACAACAATAAGCATTAAAAATTACTTACGATGTCGAACATTCCGCCATTTTGAAAACGTCAAATCTAATCGCCTAAACACCTCCTGGGACGATTAGGTCGATTTGCCTAATCAGTTGAGTTAAATCGTCTCACAAATGTAACGATTAGCATAATCAACTTGGTTCACAAATGCGTATAATAGCTAATCAGTCTAATCTAATCGGTTCACAAAAACGCCTATTGTAAAAACACTCGGACCTGACGGTCCTCTTGTTGTTACAATATATTACTTAATGTCTCGCTCTCGACCATTAAACAATACATAATGATCACTTGTATGAATTAATGACAAGAAATTTCTTTACTAAAAGGCCCAGGTTCATAAGTCAATAGTATCAGCCTACCAGTGATATTTTGCTCCATTTTTGTACCACACGCAGCGCAAACACGGATTATTTGCGAAATTATCGCCAAATCTCCAGCCTTTATACATTTTCATCAACGTTTATACCACTCCGGGAATAAATCTGGCCTTGCGGCGATGACTCTCTGGATTACACAATTTTATAGAAGTTATAATGTTCTTATAACATTGTAGCCTATAAATTGTAGGCCTATATATTACAGCGGTTTTTTTTACATCGTAATGTTCTTTATAATGTGTCATAAATATAAAATGGTGTTAAACGTCCCACTTGGCTGTACCGACCAGGTTAATGAAGACGGGACATCATCCTTGATATAATACAAATGTACAGATAAAATTTGTTAGCTATGGTAGACTTATCTCCTCAAACGAAAAATGGTTTCGTGTATTGTAGACCAAACTTGTTCCTTTGCCTTTTGCATTACCGCCGCGTAAGTCACAGCTAATAGCTATATAGATCAATGATAGAAATCGAAACAGGTCCAACAAATGAAATGGGGTTTAACGTTCTACTGTTCTACGCCGACTGGGCTAATGAAGACGGGAAACTGGACCACAATGGATCTTACTCTGTATATATAGCATAACAATAGAGCAGCTTTTATAATTAGAAAGGGATGTACATATGAATATTTATTGTTGAGCCAACTTTTTATGATAAACATTTTTTAACTATCTCTTAACTTGTGTTGGAAGGTAAGAAGTTATGTGCTTAACAGTTACAATATTGAGGAGTTTCGCCGAAGCGCTTTTTTGCAGTGCCAAAGGCTAAATGGAGCAGAATGTCATGTGATTTATATAGGTACCCTTCTGTGGGTAAAAGATTTTGTTATTGTGTACAATTTGAAATTAAAATTATTAAATTCAGAAAAGTATTTCTTTTGTTTTAATTAATTCATTTCTGACTTCAATTTATATTTATAGCTTTCGCAAGAATAGAGTTGACACAAATTGGATAAACACTCCTGCCTATCTTATATAATTAAATGTATGAAATCACAAGTGTCTGGTGATCCAGAAAATCACCGGAATAGTTATTATGATTCGAAACGTATCGAGTACCCACATTACAGTAAGGGAGCTAGGTTCAGGTTGTTTCGAAAATCGAGTACAAAATTTCTACTATGCTAGATGAGTGGACAGCGGTGCCCGATACTCTCAACCTTGATTCTTAAGTTGAGGATCCCCTTTCCATGGGGATGAGGGGTCCGACAAAACGTCGAAATCTCGAGCTTAATTCGACTTTTGCGTACAACAATCAACTTCCGTGCATAAGTCGACCAACTTCAGCTGTCGCCAAAAACATTGCTTGATCAAAGCAATGATGGTATCAATTTGTAGTGATGTATCCAATGGTGTAGAAAGTTGTTGAATATGGGCTTCAAGAACCCTGAAATCAAGGTTTCTTCTCTTGGCACATTAGTGAGTAGGTCGACAACATCGCACGGGAGTAATTCATTGGAGTCCTTAATGAAAATATCACTCCGTCTGGAAGATCTTGGCATATCATGAGTTTGAGGAATCCTACTGATTGTATTTTGGTGAAACAGAATGGACGCCAGGAGCTTTTGTGGTCTTCAAATAAATCAGCTCCCTTCCCCGAAAAACTAAAAAAATAATGTTGTACTACGCGGAAGTGGAATTAACTCATCTCTGATGGGGAAAGGGGACGTTCTTAAGGGATGAAGAATGGGTCCGGGATCTACTTAAGCCCAGTTTTTGATGGTATCTGAGGTAAGTTTACATAGGCAGGAAGGATGATATTTGTAGGCTGAAGTTGACTTGGCCATTGAAGTTGAAGTTGCCCCCCCCCACCCGGAGATAATTAGTGTTATGTTCTGGTGAATCAATAGTGAAACATTATATTGCTTAAGGGAAGAAGGACGGGTCGTGGGTCTTTTTAAGCAGTGTTTTTGGTGACACCTGAGGTTGGTTGACGTATGCACGAAAGTTGATCGTTGTTCGCAAAAGTAAATTTAAATCGTCATTTTGGTCATTTCACCCAAGAAGCACCCCACCCCACCCCCCGTTTTGTCGTTTTTATCCGGGATAGAAGGGGAGGAGGGGTTGGGGGTCTTCTTAAGCATTGCTTTTAGCGACATCTGAAGTTGGTAGACTCTTGCATGAAAGTTGATTGTTTACGCAAAAGTCAAATTAAACTCGAAATTTTCGGACCCCCCACTCCCATGGGAAGGGGACCCGCAACTTAAGAATCAAGGTTCAGAGTATCTGGCACGGTTGCCCACTCATCTAGCATAGTAGAAATTCTGTACGCCATTTCCGAAACAACCTGAACCTAGTTCCGTTACTATACTGAAGACCCACACTGTCTAGAGTACCATTATTCACTTCCATACTAAGAGAGCTCTTTTTAGATCAAAGCCCGTAATTAGACGCTAATCGAAATTCCTTGCATAAACGATGTCAATGACATTTGTCTGTGTGAATCACATTTTCTGGTCCAGATCATCGTTAATCCACCACGGATGTATTCATTTGTTGAGACCTATTTTCGAGATCAATCTATTATATACAATATCTAAAGAGTAAATCATATTCACATCATCAATTTAGTTTTGCCGGCGTCAGATGATTCTATAAACCTGTCCAGAAAATTATAACCAGTCACTATGCCGACCACAAGCGGTTGTAACTATATTGAATCATAATGAAAGACACGACCACATTTTGCAGTAGATGAACAGCTAACAATCAAATCAGTAGGTCTCATTCTCTAATTGGCCCAATACTACATATCGATTTTGTTTGGGTGGGTGTGTGTGTGTGTGTGTGTTTGGTAGCAAAAATGAAACCGACTGATGCACAGGCCCTCAATATGAATGACACAGCCATAAGCCGATCGCCGCAGGTACGAGAATATCATCCGCAAATGGCCTAATTGGC